CCTGCCGAGGCGCCGCTGACTGGGGCCCGGGTTAAGGCCCCAACGAACGACCTCCGGGAGGCGAGCGGCACTGCCAGCCCCGGGCAGTCGGCGGGACAGGCTCCTGGGAGGCGGTTGGTGACCGTGTGGGGCCCGCGGCCTTGGGCGGGAGGCCGTTGTGAGGACTGGGGACAGAAAACGCGTCCTGCCGTGTGTGCACAGCCACGCTCGGGGCGTGCTACTCGCTTCTCGTTGTATGTGCCCTTCCTAAGGCCCAGTGGAGAGGAATGATTGTATGTTTTAAAGCCTAAATGTGACTGTAAGCTTACTACTGAAATATCCTTTCGGGTTGCAAAGTAACCTCTGTGACTGCTGTAGGATTATTTTACAGTAAGAAGAGCGTTTTCATGTTTAGGCTGAGAGGTAGGTGTCAAAGATACTGATTAGGGAATTTGCAATAAAGAGGAGGAAAGGGAAGGTGAAGACCAGATGCAGGGGGAGCTACCAAACTAAGCCTTCCTTCTATATGGCTGCTTCTCCTTGTAACAGTTCATGTCACTGTATTCCCTGTAAAGTATCAAGACCCTTCACTGCAACACCTTTGTTACAGTCTGGTTGGCTTTCCACCTTGTTTTTCAAGAAGTTTATGCTGTGATGACCTATGCTCATCTATTCCCTTTCCTTTCTTCTTGCACAAGAAACTTTTGAATCATTTGGATAATACAGCGTTTAAGGAAGGCTAGGGAAGAGGGGAGGCAAAGAGAAACAACTGTGTAAGAATCTCGGGCTTCATTAATACCATTGCTCATGAAGTGCACCTCTCTCTGTTCCCCTTACTTCAGACTGCCGGTTCCCAAACTAGAAGACACAATTAGGAGATACCTGAATGCCCAGAAACCTCTTTTAAATGATGACCAATTCAGGTATGGACAAACAAGATACACATGCTGCAGTGTCATCTGCTGCTTCCAAACCAAGTGTGACAGATAAAAAATACGGCTTGTGACAGATCCTGCCTCTTTTACTGATTACTGTAGGAAAACTGAAGAACTTGCTCATCAGTTTGAAAAGGGAATTGGAAGAGAGTTGCATGAGCAACTGGTTGCTCAAGACAATCAGAACAAGCATACTAGTTACATCACAGGTACGTTGAATATCGGAGTCTGTAGATCGTCATGCTTGGCAACAGCTTATAATGTTACAAGCTTAAGTTCTCCACCACATGAGCTTGGAGTAACATGCTCTGAATACAGTCTGCAACTGTATTTGAGCAAATTCTGAGTCTCTGGTGGAAAGAAAAATGCTAACTTGTATGTATCAGAGTTCCTGATAGATGGATGCTGGAGGAAAGGTATTTTTTCATGAGTTACTGTATTTAAATTTGAATTTACAGGTTTTCTTTTCTATCCATTTTTCAGCAATGAAACATCTATTTTTGTTTATGCTAATAGAGGAGCTTAACTTGTAACTCTCGGAAGGAAACCAACCATTTTCAAATACTGGCACATTATTTAGCAAGAAGACTGAACTCTGAGGAGGGGTAAGGGAATATGACTAAGTTTTTGGAGGCAGAAGTGGTCAGTGCTCTGGACTTAACCCTCCTCCCAAAACTACAAACCCATATTCTTTTGAAGAGCAAAAGAAAAGGAGTGACAGAGCAAGATGAGAATAAAAAATAATTAAAAAAAAAGGGAGAGCATATGGAGTTTTTAATTATTATTCCTTATTATTACTTCCATTGACTTCCAAATACAAGTGTCTGCTTCTGAAAATATTGGGTGGATAGCAATAGAGCTGGATATTCAAATGCCTACGGAAGCAGAAGTTTGCATGTTGCCCAGTGAATGTATTCCTATCCTTGCTGTCTGTTGGCACTACCTGTAAGAGTGTTAGCTGCCTTAAATTCTGTAGAAAATACCAGATTATTTCATAAAAGCTGCTTTTTGGTTTCTTGTCTTTCCATTCACTTGGAACACCATCCGGGGCTTTAACTGGTGGCTTTATGTCAGTGCTGACCAGCCTGCTGCTTTTTGTCCATGAGCTGTCCAAGCTTAAGTTTGCATTCCTTTTTGTTTAGTTATTACTCTCTCTTAGGTCTCATAAAAGACCTGTTCCACTTGAAACTGGTTTCTGAAAGTATGCATAGTTTCCTCCACCCTGGACTTTCAAGTCCAAGGTTAAAGGCAATGTGGTGATGACAGATGTGATTGTAAACCTGTAGGTGAATGCTAGTTGCTCACTTGTGAGGACTTGAAATTGAAATTGTAACTTAGGTCCTTAAGTTCCTGTTGCCCTTGTTGCAGCTCACCTGAAAGGTTCTACCTGCGACTGATCCAGGCTTGGAATAATAGTTTCTAATACATCAGCTGCCTTGAGATGAAGTTGGTGTGCACTTGCTTCCTGTGCCTGCACCCAGTGTGCAATACCAGAGCTTGTTGCATTTGAGCTTGTTAATGATGATGAAATAGAACCTACTTTAAAAATCCCTTCTCTGCCTTTGCCCTCTGGGTTTTTGTTTACTCATAGGCAGGTGTAAAGACGTGACTACTTTTTAGAGCTATGATTGATTCCCTTGTGTCTGTAAGCACAGAACCTTGGGGTCACAGTCATGCTTCTGAATATGCTGACAGTCTAAAAGACCTGTGGGTATCAACTGTAATTCCACTTTCCAGAGAACGTTCTAGGCCTGGAAGAATAACTATGAGGTCCCCTCTGATCTCGTCTTTTTGCCAGCATGAGAGACTGATGGTAATGCATCAGTGTCAAGAGTTCTGCCCTGTGATGATCATTTTAGTGGATAGAAAGAGGAAGGAGGTAGAAATGCAAGAAGGCAAATGCAGAAGGAGGAATGCTGCCAGGAGTGAAGGAAGCACTGGAACAGAGGTAAAGGTGGTTCTAAAGGGAGGCATGCCCTCAGTGACAGAGTTGCAGAAATTAATAGCTTGAGAGTAACCGAAGACATGTTCCAGTCCAAATGTGAGGTGTTCACCAACATACAGTGCTGGAAGCTGCAGTGTATGTTGGGGGAGTTGTAGTTTATAATGGAGCCATATAGAAAACAAGGAAATTGTCCTTTGTTGCTGATGACATTTGCACTCTTGATACGGATTACTCCAAATACAGAATTCTTACAATTAGCCAACAGTACTTTTCTTCATAACTAGAGGTTGTGAGAATCCTTGGGGGAATTACTACATGTGTCTGCCTCGTTTGTGTGCACTTCAGTAGGCATTTATTCCTGATCCCTGTTGGAGGCAGGATGGTGACTACATGAACCTCTGGTCTGACTCAATAAGCTGCTTTTATGTTCTGACCTATTTCTCAACTCTCCATTTTCAGGTCCCTGGTTTGACATGTACCTAAAAGCACGTGAATCTGTTGTTTTGAATTTTAATCCATTTATGTCTTTTAACCCTGATCCAAAATCTGAATATAACGATCAGCTCATACGAGCTACGAACATGACGGTTTCTGCTATACGTTTTATGAAGACCTTCAGGGCTGGTTGCCTGGAACCAGAGGTTTTTCACCTCAATCCGGAGAAAAGTGACACTCAGCTCTTCAAAAACATTATCCGATTTGTGCCTTCTTCAGTTTCTTGGTTTGGTGCCTACATGGTCAATGCATACCCCCTAGATATGTCTCAGTACTTCAGGCTTTTCAACTCTACGCGGCTGCCTAAGCCTGACAGAGATGAGCTTTATACAGATGAAAAGGCAAAACATTTACTAGTACTGAGAAATGGGAATTTTTATGTATTTGATGTTCTTGACAGAGATGACAATATGCTGAAACCTTCCGAAATACAAGCACACTTGAAATACATCCTTAGTGACAACAGTCCGGCCCCGGCCTTCCCTCTCGGCTACCTCACCAGTGAAAACCGAGATACATGGGCATTGCTGAGAAAGAATCTACTGGATAATGGCAATGAAGAAGCTCTTCAGAAAGTAGACTCTGCTCTGTTTTGTTTAAGTTTAGATGATTTTCCCATTAAAGACTTCATGCATTTGTCCCACACTATGTTGCATGGAGATGGTGCTAACCGCTGGTATGACAAATCTTTCTCTCTGATCATAGCTAAGGATGGCACTGCAGCAGTTAATTTTGAGCATTCCTGGGGAGATGGTGTGGCTGTGCTCAGGTTCCAGAATGAGGTTTTTAAAGACAGCACCAAGGCACCAGCCATTAGCCCCCAGTCCCAGCCAGCTTCAGTAGACTCCTCTAGAGCAGTGCGTAAACTTGACTTTAAGCTGAATGATGCCTTAAAAGCAGGAATTACCAAAGCCAAAGAGAAATTTGATGCCACTGTAGGATCACTGTCTCTTAATATAATTCAGTTCAATGGGGGGGGCAAGGAGCTTCTGAAGCAGAAGAAAGTAAGCCCAGATGCTGTTGCTCAGCTTGCCTTCCAGATGGCTTTCCTTCGGCAATACAATCAGACTGTTGCTACATATGAGTCCTGTAGTACTGCAGCTTTCAAACATGGTCGTACAGAAACTATACGTCCTGCCTCTATCCATACAAAGAAATGTTCAGAAGCTTTTGTCAGGGAAGTATCCAAACACAGCACAGAAGAGCTTCAGAACTTGATAGTGGAGTGCTCAAAATACCATGGCCGTTTGACAAAAGAAGCTGCTATGGGTAAGTAAGAATATATCAAACACTTTTGCTTTGCTCTAAAGTGTCTGGTAGGGTTGCTGTAAACATTTACTTCACAGCTAAATAATTTTGATGGAGGTCTAATGTTAACATAACTTGACAAAACAGTATTATCATCTTGATGGATGGAGGAGAATAGCTCCGTGCTGCCCACTTCACTGCCAGCGTGTTGAGAATTTCTTACACTTTTTGTCCTTAGAGCAGCTGGGCTATTCGAAGATCTGATAAATACTTACTCTGTGTTGTGCTGCTCAAGGAAACAAAGAACTTTGGCTTTATGTCTGAGGAGTTGCTGTCTTATCCCTGCAGGGGATAAAGGCTTTATCAACTCCAGATCAAATTGATTCTTTGACTGTGCTGATTCTGGTATTTTTCTAAATGCTTTCTTTCCAACTGTCCTTCCCAGAAGCATAACTTAACGTATTATTTCAGTAAAATGGACTGCTTGACATTACCCCATAGAGTCTGAAATTCATGTTCTTTTGTTGTTGCAAGATCCTCTTCCTCTTTAGATTCATAAATTTTAGGAAAGCCTTTCTCTGTTGTAAACAACTTGGATATGTTCAGATAAATAGTTAATCAAAGGAGGTAATGTATTATTAATCATTATGTCTGTTAACATACAGACATAATACAATTATTAATGTATTATGTCTGTAACGTTGCACTTTTGTTTACCATCATGATTCCTGCTTGAAGCTAGAAGTAAACCAGCAAGCCCTTATTCTCTAGGGTGTGTGCTTTAAAGCTGCAGAATGTGTGGGTTCTGTAAACCCCACATCTGTAGACCTCCTCTTTTGTGGCTGGAAACCAATGTGATGTCAAAATGAGTGAGTTTACTTCCTATAAAAATTAGTCATCTTTCTAACACTTGTTATTTTATTTTAACAGGTCAGGGATTTGACCGACATCTCTTTGCATTGCGCCATTTAGCCTCGTCCAAGGGTATTGCACTGCCTGATTTCTATCAAGACCAAGCCTATGCTCGGATTAATCACAACATCATTTCTACAAGCACACTGGTTAGCCCATCTGTGCAATTAGGAGGCTTCGGCCCAGTGGTGTCTGATGGCTTTGGAGTAGGATATCAGGTACATGATGATTGGATAGGTTGTAACGTTTCCTCTTACCCAGCTAGGAATGGTAAAGAATACCTTCAGTGTATACACAAGTCACTAGAAGATATCTTTAATGTTTTAAAGGGCAAGAAAATTGGCAGTTAGGCAAAAATGCTGGAACACTTCACAGCTGCAGTACAAAATGCAGACTGTGTCTAATGGGCAAACTAATCAGTGTTCAGCATGGCTGAGACCACCCAGCTTAATTGGCTTCATTTATCTTCACTGGACTTGAATACTGTTAGGTTCATAGGAAATTTGTATCTATTTTAAAGAAATCAAGTACAGACCTTGAATGCACGTTTCAGGAAATAGAACCATTCGCAATGTCAAAATTAAGTAACACACCAGCTGTTCCAACAGATCCACGTGTTCTTAGAACACTTTATTTAAAATACAGAGCATTGTTACTTGAGTTTATGAACGTGGAACGTGTTCCATGAGTGTTCAGACAGACTTTAGTACTGTGATACCACTCTTAAACTGTTTGATTTAAAAAATGAAAAAGCAATAACTTGAAATGTGAAAGAGTGGTTACATTTGCACTCTTGCAGTAAGCTTGCTTACTAATGGTCACACTTACTTTTCTCTTTAAACTTGAATCAGAACTGATTGTGCCTCAACTGCTTGAAGCTTTTCCACTGTAGCAGCTTTTTATGAAACACAGAAATGAAGTGGGAGGCTTTAAGTAACCTGCAGTCACCAACTGTGTTGTTAAATTGACTGGAAAAGACTGTATTTTAATAAAGCTACCTATTAATAACTACAGAGTTCTTTTATTGCCATATCAAAATTAGACAGCATGGGTAGTCCCTTTATCGATAGCTCATGTTTGTTAGAGATGTTGAAAAGAATGCTGCTGAAAGCATTCTATAGTGTTGGATCTCCCCTTCCATGAGGTCTGTCCAATAATCTGCTTTTCTTTTACTATGTAAACCTGTGCTCCTGGGCCTTAAAAAAACAAAAATTAGTGAATTTTATCTTTTGGGATTCTCTCTCTGCAAACATCTTCTTACTGTGGAATAGTAACCTCAACAGAACATACTCCTGTTTCCTCCTTGTTCTGTCAGCTGGAACTTTTGATGTTATTTATTGTAGTAAATGCCAGTCTAATGCCTAGAGCTGCATCTTCAATTCATTTGGGCTTGCTTGTTGCAGATATTCTAAAGCCTAAGACTTGTCAGGGGAGCTTGAGCATAGACATCATTGAAACTTAGTGATGCTGTGAATGTGAGATGAAGCTGATACAGACAAGTTCCTTGTATGCTGTTCACAACTGGGACTCTGCCACCTACAAAATGGGTGATAGCAAATGGGGAAGGGGGCTTCATCAGTCAAGAAGCCAGAGATGCACAAAGTATACCCCTTTTTGCACAAAATTCTCTATGGTGTAACTTAAACTCCCCTGCCTTTTAAACCCTCTTGGCTCTTTTGGGAAGATGAGTCTTCCTCTGGAGCTGAACAGCACAGTAGCACTTGCTTCAGCACTGTGTTAAAACTGTCCTGGGTTCAGCTGTAGCAGGCATTTTTCTCCTTCTCAGTAGCTGGTGCAGTGCTGTGTTTTCGACTTTAGTCTGAGAACAGCGCTGATAACACACTGATGTGTTAGTTGTTGCTAAGTAATGCTTACCCCAATCAAGGACTTTTCAGTGAGGAGGGGCACGGGAAGCCAGGAGGAAGCAGAGACAGGACCCCTGACCCAAACTGGCCAAAGGGCTATTCCATACCACAGCACGTCATGCCCAGTGTAGAAACTGAGGGGAGTTACCCGGAAGGCCCAGATCACTGCTGGGGTCGGGCTGGGTATCGGTCGGCGGGTGGTGAGCGGTTGTGTCCTCTCCCCTTGTTATTTCCCTTATCATTATTACTGGTAGCAGCAGTGGTTTGTATTATACCTTAGTTACTGGAGTGCTCTTATCTCAACCCATGGGAGTTAGTTACATTCTTTCCATTCTCCTCCCCATCCCTCTTGGAGCAGGTGGCAAGAAGGAGCGGAAGTTGAGCGAGTAGCTGCGTGGTTCTGAGTTACTGCCTGGGCTTAAACAAGAACTAACACAGCTCATGTCTTTCAGCACAGCCCATTGTGTCGTAGAGAACCAACTGTATTAGAAGAACATGAATGTCTGAGCATGTTGGTTAGATATGACAGATCAGGTTCACACCCTCAGAGACCTATTTGCTTTTACTCTTTCTTCAGTCAGCTCAGCTTCCAGGTTCTCCCAGTGTATTTTCTTCTTTATCAATCACAGTCACTGTAAGCAATACAGTGCAAGTGCACTGCAAGTGCTAGGAAGAGGAGAGGCATGCTTTAAATATCTTAAGCCTGAAGGCTTATAAACTTTTTCTAGTCAGGGCTGTTTGCAGCCTGTAATGTGTTGGTTCAATTTGCAGCTGAAAAGGATTATTTAGATACTTACTTTATAACTTACTATGTCAGTTCTTGCTCATTTAAATGAAGAAAGGGAGGAGATCATTTGGGAGGATGAAGGAAATAATACATCAGGAAACAATAATCAGACCAAAAGTCTGAATGAAATTCACTAAAGAAGATTTTGCCTTTGTTGTTGTTGGGTTTGTTGTTTAAACATGAGAACAGCTGGCAAGATTGTGAGAGTGTCTGCCAAGAAGTACAAAGTCTGTCTTCAACTAGAAATGAATGCGGTTTACTTAATGACATGCTCAGATATCTTGATTTTAAGAAGACTGTAACAGCTATGTGTAAATGCCAGTAGCAGTTCTCAGTAAATTTACCTCAGTGCATTTTCTTGAACTGGCAGAAAACTACAAAAGATGAACCTTTTCACTAGAGCAGTTACCTTTATTAACACTATTTCTTTATGATAGGAGTTGGGAATGAGATGACCTTATTTGCTCATGTTAGAGACTCAAATTCGGGTACTTCAAAAACTTCAAGGCTATAATTTGTCTGAGTAGTTACTGTTGATAAAATAGGTAAGTTAGAGTCCACCACAACCTTATATATATCCCCTAAAAGACAACACTAAGAAAATGGCACAGTTCACTCAAGCATATGTACTATTTTCAGTTTGTACTGAGGCCATCTCAATGTGCTCTGTGGAAAATATTTTATTAGGGCATGCTGGGCACAGGATGCACAACTTAGGTTTCCATTCCTGAAGCACAGCCACGTGAAAAGTAACTGCAAGGAAGTTGTGTCTCAGATGGTTAGAGCTCCTTCATCGGTAAGCATGTCAGGATTCATCAGGGGTATGAACTTCAGCATTTTACAAATTTATGGGTAACTTCATAGATCCCAACAGATTCCTTTGTCTTTTCATCATAGTCATTCCAATCCTATAGGAAATAAGATTTCATAGTATTAGCCACAGAGAATAGAAAGCAGTTGTGTCTAAAACAGAGTGAAAATCAAACCGAAACTAAGCCTTACTCAAGATTTGGGTCTTAGATTGGTTGAAAGCACTGTGCAGTCACTAAGCTAAGTTCTGATAGCTGAGAGAACCACTGACCTGAAATTAAATGAGCTTCAGTCTCAGTGGTTTTAACAATGATTATTTTCTTTTTCATACACAGCCTGCAGCCTGTAGTGGACATGACAGCAACCGTGGCAGATGAAAGGATTATCTATCATTTACAATACCCCAGGCAGGCGAGTAAGCAGACAAGCAGATCCCTGCCAAGTAGGATACCAGGGAACAGATTTGACCTTGAGATTCTTGCACCCAGCCAAGGAAGATTTGCAATGCTGGAGTCATTATCCTGAGCTTTGAAGGACAGTGTCTTTGTATTACTTATTTTTAATACCTCTGTGCACAGGAAGAAGTGCAGGCATCTTCCTAGGAAAATCAGCTCACCACACTGAATAATCCCAGACATTTAGGTATTTCCAGTTCCAGGTGTTTGCTCTCTGGAATTGCCAGGTGACTTAAAAGTTGCATTTCTACCTTTGTCAGCTGCTGAGCTATCAAGTGTGTACTTCTAAAATGACACCTTTAGCAGTGGTGGCTGTTCACAGTTGATTTAGTTTTTCCATGTAGATATGGCCTTCCTGTGCCTACATGAAAGAGCAAAACTAGTCTCTTGCATATGCCGGGTACGTATTTTGGGCTAGTGACTTATGAAAAGAAAGCAAGATAATTAGATTTACTAATGAAATAGGTCAACATACCTTTTCTAGCAAGTTTATGTCATTGAAAGGTGTGCCAGATTCTGCACCTTCAGCAGCAAACCCTGCCTGCAAACACATTGGCAGTAAGTTTTTAAGAACAAGTTGTACCAAGAAAATAATAAATATGATCATTGTTTAAAGACAGTAACTCAGCACAAACTTTTCTTGTATTTCTTTTAAATTAGGTAGAAAGAATGGTCAAGTTCTTTCCTGTATAAGATTGTGACCCTGTTGTGAATTGAGAAAATTCAATCTAAGCAACCACAGAGTAAACTTGCTTTTTTAGCAGGAAAAATTGAGAAGCAATTTTTTCTGCTAAAAAAAGTTATTTCCAAGTATTCCAGATAATGTTAAACCTAAGTTTCTAAGTTTATATAGCAGCGTACAACTACTAATAGATTCGTGTTCAGAATCCATGCAGACATCATGTACAAAATAGCTTCATAATAAACTTACACTGCAAGAAAACAATAGAAAGAAAATGTGGAAAAGAGTTAACAGTTTTGCCTTAAATACTGTTAGAATCCAAGACACACTAGAGAGGAGCAGCTTGTATTGGATTTAGGTACAGAAGTGACTACCAAGAGGAGGATCAGGTGACTGAATGAAGAGATATATACACCCAAACAATCATTTCCAAGGGAAGAGTTCTTCACTGTTGTTACTGTTGCTGTTTAAAGAGTTGAAGGGAAGGATGGCACTAGGAAGGAAACAGCCTATCAGTGGGGTGTAGCACAAGAACAAGGTGTTCTGGTTTATCTTCTATAGGAACAGCTCTCTCATTTTATGGTTCACAGTTATCCAGCTGTAAATTAAGTTTTATGAGTTTTAAAAGCACATTTACAAACCTCAGCCACCTGTGTAGCATCCAGAAAGGCTTCTTACATTGCTGTCTCTAACTGAAGGATTTTATTCAGAAGTGGCTAAAAAGTAAAGGCAGCTTCTTCCTGCTTTTCTGCCAGGGACCTGCACTTGCACTTTTGATACAGAAATCCCCATTAGAACAGTGGAACATTTAACTGTGCAAGAATGTGTGAAGTAAGCCACATGATTTTAAAATATTTTGGGATTTGAATGGAAGGTTAAGCACTTGGGAGTTAAATAAACCATGGAGTGCAGCAGATGTAACAACAGGAGAGCCACCTGCAGAAGCCCATCTCAAGGGAACTGCTAGGGGTGGAGAGGGAGATGAGCATCATGGGACAAAACCACAGAGCTGCAGTATAGAACAAACGCTAGCAAAAGAAAAGCAGCCCTCCTTTTGCCACCTGGAGATATGCACCAGCCCTCCAAGGAATGAGAAGCCATGTGACTGGAATTACAGGCTTCTGTACCAGACACTCAACGGGACTTGCATTCTTTACAGCTCTGGCGTCAGAGTAGAGACTCATTTAATCTCTGCAGATGGGAGCTAGGACATGCAGTGACTTGTCTGGCAAAGAACCAACAGCTAAAGCATAAACACACATGCATCAAAGAAGCAAAAATGCCTATTGACTTTACCACACAGTGAACTGTCACAGTTCTGTTACCAATGAAACTATTGGTTGTGTCACAAAACAAGAAGCTTTAGAAAGTTTAAGAGAAATCTTATAAAGAAACCTCCATTTTTAGTTGAAGCATTCACCTGAGGGACAA